TCTTTCTTTCTTTCTTTCTTTCTTTCTTTCTTTCTTTCTTTCTTTCTCTGGTACAAGAGGAATTTTTCTGAGACTGCATGATAGTAGGCCTTCCCTGACACATTGAAAAATCCCAGCAATGATGCTCTGTTGCACTATGGGAACTATCTGGGATGCTATAAAACATATAAGAAGTCAAAATGGCTAGAGTCTACCTAGAAGTTGAATGGACAAGTTTATTATGTATTAAGGCTTCATGGAGCATTTTCCTTTATGGGAAATTGCTTGATAGAGGAAACTCAAGACTGAACATCCAACTCTATTATTAAATCACAGTCTAACTCAAATTATCTAAATTCTTTGCTTTACTTATTTTTAATCTTAAAAGTGATAGATGGGATTGGATACATTATTTCTTTTATATATATTTACATGTACTACATATATACTAATATAGTATTAGTATGTATATATGTATATATATACAAATAGATTCTGAAACATTAGAGTTGAAGAGGATTTAGCTGTACCTACATTAATAATAAAAGCTGATGAGGCCTACAGTAAATGCTGTCAATATAGTAATTTCCCAAAGTAGGATAACTGAAAGCATTGTGTTTAGTCAAAATTCTTATACTTTTCTCTCCTCCAAAATGCTGCTGTCCAAGGAGATCTGTCCAAAGCCACGTGAAATGACCATATAGTGAAAATAAAGATATTTGATCATGTTTAAAGTCTTGATGACACTTTTACTTGCTTTTAACTTCATCTATCAGCCAATAATGTAAGACAGAAAGTACAGTTCATTGAGAGGTAAATATGGAAGTGGTGGGATCATCAAGACTAACTAAGACATTAGAATTCCATACAAGAATACCAGTGTCCAATGCAGGTTCAGTGCAATTAAGAGATCTGTGAACTAAACAGGGAGAGCAACAACAACAAAACAAAACAACAACAAAACAAAACAACAATAACAACAACAACAACTATCTCAGACAAACGAGTAGTTCTGTGTTAGTAAAGGAAAGGATACAGTTTACCAGATAGAAGGACTCTCGGGATTCCTTAACTTGATGGATACTGTGACTGAAGCAACACAATTTTAGACTCACTCTATGCTGGAAAAATCCTTCTTAGATAGAGCTTGCTTAGTCAGTTTCTATCTAGAGCCTCCCAATAGTTTATTTGTGTGTATTCTGTTTAAACAAAAATGAATCTAGCATTTCAGGAGGTGTAGTATTCCCCCTTCTGATTCTAAATGACTCTTCTTCAACTCGACTTCAATTTCCTTAGGACTAATCTGGTAGCTTAGACATTGAAGATAATTGTAGACCACAGTATCTCTGTTTTAGTAACCATGCAGACTTTGCAAGGTGGTGTGTGAAATAAAAACTCTTGCCCGATCCTGGATCAAGGGTAATGAAATGTCTGGGTACAAGAATGTGAATGTGATGAAACATCTGAGAACTGCCTGCTTCCATATTCCTTCTTTGGGAAAGAAGAAATGAGGAGCTCTCTCTAGGCTTAAGATATTATTGTAGTACCCTTCCTGGAGCATGAGGACAGATAGCTTCCCATTGATTTTCATATGAGAAAGATATTTATCAGTACTCATTGACTTACACTTGCGAGGGCTGTGTAGTTGAAGATCAAGTTGGTGTGGTCTAAATCTAATGTAGATGCAGAAAAACGGAATGAGATTGTGGCATACTAGTAAGACCATCTCCTAGCTAATCAAGATTCCACTACTTAGTTTCTCCTCATTGTTAGCACTGTAAAACCTTCCACATTTTCAAAGAATCCAGAACACTGTAACTTTATGTGAAATTTTTACGAACTCAAAAATAATTTGAACAAACAGCAGAACCATATCCACAGTGGAGAAATCATGAATACACACTCAGTTTGTAACTTCATATTGAATCAGACTCATGTGGGAGAATGTCTTACTTATCATTGTTTTAGCAAATTGTCACATATTTAATGGCTTATCTCAGTTATCATACCTCAGATGTTTAACAGACTTCCCTGGGTCTTCACAAGACATAAATCAAGAAGTTGGCAGGACTGTGGTTCTTTCTGTACACTCTCTGGGAGTCTATTTCCTCATGAATATATGAGACTGAAGGTATATTTCTTGTTAAAGGTCATTTACAGTTTCTAAAGCAGTGGTTCTCAACATGTGGGTTTTACCTTTTTGGGGGTCAAATGACCTTTTCACAGGGGTTACATAGGACCATCAGAAAACACAGATATTTACATTATGACTCAACAGTAGCAAAATTACAGTTATGACAAAGCAGTGAAAATGATGTTATGATTGAGGGTCACCACAACATGAGGAACTGTATTAAAGGGTCACAGCATTTAGGATGGCTGAGAACCACTACTCTAGGGAAAGATCATCTCCTTTGTCTCATAGCTCTCGTCTACTAGGGATGGTATATTGATTTTGTTTTATGCCACATCTCTCTAGTGTCATTTCTGCCTTCTAAATCTTCTAAGGATACATCTAGAAACTAGAAAAATACAACTAAAGTAAAATATTTATCATTAAGCATGGAATAAAAAATACCATGATTTAGCTTTAGGAGATGTATGAACCCATATGCATAATTCAAGATAATCTTCCTATTTTAACATGTACTACCATAATTCTGCCTGGTCCCTTTGCCATATTTCATAATATGCATAGATCATCAAAGAATGGCACATGTTAAAATCTTTTTTCTGCAAAGCATTTATCTCTATCTGTACACATTTGTCTTTCCTAATCCAGCATCTAGCAGACTTAATGTGATACCTCAATGAAAATATGCTTCTGAAATGTGTCATTTTAGCCACTTCAAGGTAATCTGGTCCTCCAGGAGGGGAAGAGGAATTCTGGCTCCTAGGTTCCCTCACCCCTTCCCTATTTTGTGCTCATTAAGAGGTAACCTGTTGAAAAGATACCCTGACTTTGAGTGGATGACTCAGTGGCTTTCTGCTTCGAGTTGCAGGAGGTTCGTTGCAATATGAGGCTGAAAAGGCCGTGGAGGAGGATTCTCTTTTCCCCATGCCACCTGGCCAAGAGACCAGTCCTGAATTTCCAGCGAATGAGAACATCTTTGAGATCAAGCCACTTAACTCCATCCTAGATGATGACTGCAGCTCCACTCGCGGCTTCCCCACTCAGGAGTCCTTTACCATGGCCTCTTGCGCCTCAGAGAGCCATTCTCAATGGGTCCACACCCCCATTGAATGTACAGAGCTGGACCTGCAAAAGTTTTCCAGCTCTGTCCCCTCTACTGGAGCTGAAACCTTGAGAGAGAACACAGCCGAATACTCAGGAGACAGGCTTGAGCTCTATGTACCTTTTGAAGTTCCAACCCTTTAACTACCATGGTGAGCTAGAAAGGTATGGCTAAAGGACCAGAAGGTGCAGGCCACCTTCATGACATTTCCAATCTAGGTTCTCTTGTTCCATAGGGCTTGGATGGAAGAATAGCATGAAACTAGGACCAATAGAGGTTGGAGAGGCAACAGTTGGGGCACTAAACTTTTGAGCTAAGTTTACATTGGACTTCTAAGACAACAATTGTCTGGTGACCAGGCAGGTTGACATGAGGCCAGTTTCTTCATCCAGACCCCACTATCAACCAGTCATGTTCAATTTTCTCTTTCATGTTTATAAGCAGCTCAACTCTGTAGAGATATGCGGCTCCATATTCAGTGAAATACCAATTCCTGAATAGCTGTATACACTTGTGCAAATCATTTTACTTCTTTCAGACACAGAGCCTTCAGCTCATAATTTTTCTTGAGGTTTGAATGAAAGCATATGAAAGTGCCCTTCACAGTGTCTACATGGTAGGCCCCGTTTTTCCTTTTCCTATGCTCAGTCACAAATTAGAAATTCCTTTTATATCAGCTACATTTTATTCTGAACTTCATAACTTTATCCCTCTGTGGTAGGCAAATCAGAAATATGTTAATCTCACTTTAAACAAACAGGAATGGAGCAACAGAGATAAAAAGTGATTCGCTTAAAATCACAGAACAGCCCAATCTCAGAAATAGACTAGAACTCAGGATTAGCAGTTCCATTATAGAACTGATTCAAACCCATCACTGAATTTGAAATATATGTGTATGTATCTCAATATATGTCTCATATACATATGTGTGTATGTACATATCTTTGAGGAAAACAAGAACACATATAGAGCCTGAAAGTATTTCATAATTGTATTCTTAATACAATCTGTCATGTGTGATCAAGTGTGAAAATTTTCACTTATGGTGTTGTGTCAAATTGTATAAAGTTTTGAGCATTTGGGGATTTGAATCTTTTAATTTTGGATTAAGGATCCCCAATCTATTTCTTCATTAAAAAAGTATGTAATTGTTGCTCATATATTGCAGTGAACAAGAGCTCACAACTGTAGAAAGCATAATTGTATCTCATACTCACATATGGGTTATGATTCTGTTCTGACTCATTTGCCTTGTTTGAGAACTGAAGACAACATCTGTCTGAAAAGCACTGCCTTTTTAAATTTTTTTATTGTTATTTTTTGCACATGGTGCTTATAACATAATCCATTTTTTTTAAAAAAAAATCTTACTAGTTTGGAATAGGACAGATTTGTCATCTCTATAGCCAGGTGATATATTTCTGCTATTGTGTCCTAAATCTTTGCTCATCTAACCACTAACCTTTAGAGAAAAGGAAGAAGAGGGTGGTGTTGAGCTTGCATCACAGGATTCTAACTTGCTCTGCTCTTTTTCTAGGTCTCTTTCACTCTTGGCAACCTTGCCAGTGCTTGTTGCTGGACTTTCCTGCTCTTTTATTCAACAACAGTAGCAGGAGCCTGGGATGTAGGTCCCGCAATAACCAGCATTCAAAAATGGAGCATACAGAGCCACATGCTGCCAGAGGATTAATTCCCCAATGACTGACCTTGAACACTTTTTTTCTTATTCCAGTCTGGGGATCCAGATTCCATAGCCATGAGACTGCTGTGCTTGTTCTTTCTCTTTAATTAATTTAGAAGTAAGGGGAATAACAATGAATGAGGGAGAGTTTGCCTGCCTGTATATGTTTCCTGCCTATATTTCTGGCCTTAAAAAAAGGAGTATATAGAACTATGTTGACATTTGCCTATCACTTTGAAGAGAAAAATGAAATGCTTCCCATTTTAGCTTTCTGCTTTGACTCCACTCCGCATCCCTACACACACACAAACACGTACACAGAGTAAGGGGATATTGAGGAAGATATGGGGAGGCCTGAGGCCTGAATTTTACAATTCACTTCCTAGACTAATATAGCTATGATAGCTGTCAAGCCAGTATATTTCTTAGACTCTTCATTCTCAGAGACAGGCTACCAATACTCTCTGGTGGGGATTCAAATCAGTGTCTTCTATATTTTTTAAATTCTTGCTTCCTAGACTTCTTTTCATTTTTATCACTCCAATATTCTTACCTTTTAACCCTTCCAGTCAGGTCCTGACTACCAAGTTTCTGAGGTGCAGAAGTAGTGCCCTGTGGAACTATGGGGACCATTGGTGCTTTCTTGGCTTACAGAATAGTCAGCCTATTTCTCTTAAGCCTGAACATCCAGTTTTACATGCTTCTCAGCATGAATTGAAACATTTTTCTTCATAATTTTTTTTGTGTGGAATATGTCAATTGAGACCTTCAGGACTTAGATGTGACTATCATGTATTGGCTTTAAGTATCCTTGTATGTACAAAATGAGCCACTAGGATTGATGCCTATTCCTTCACAGTAGTTCAGGTTTCAATGAAGAAAAGTGGTCAAATGAGTAAAGCAACTGAACCTTTTTGCTTGGGAATAATATATACTATCCTGGATGCTGGTGTGACTTAGCATGTTAAAAACAAACGAAAAATACACACAATTATTCTAGGTCAAAAATGTAAAGATGCACTAAACCTGTGGGTGCTGCACTTTACATTATTCACATTATAGTTGTTGTCTCCATGACTCATTATACAAACTTTGATATAGGTGCTGCAGGGATTGCTCAGTGCAATAGGAGTACATAGAAAGGCTAGAATGATTTCAGTCATTTCTCTTCATTTGACACTTACTGCTGACTCTTAAAAGGTAGATGCACAGGGCATGGCTGCATGCAAGCATCCTCCAATATCAAGCTGGCAAAAGCAGGAATAATAGAATTTGGAAGCAAGCTTGCCTTGCATTGTAAGACTCTTTCTCAAAAACACAAGGGATGGCAACTTAGATAGTGTTGGAGTACTTGCATTTAGCATGAACAAGGTCTTATATATTCCATCCTAGAATTGTAGAAGAAAAGAAGGGTGGAGAAAGGGGAAAAGAAGGAGGTAAAGAACAAATAAAACATTTCCAACACTAAGAAATGTACCAGATCCCATAGTGCTGCTGAGACTGTAGTAGAATTTTCAACTGGAAACTATCACATGAGTTCATCTTATATTAGAAGGTTTTCTTAAGCTCTTAAACACTGTTTATAATATTTTTCTGCTTGTTTCTTGGGTCCCTAGACTGATAGCACTCTGTGAGTCTGCTGGAAGGTCTGATGGATGTTCAAAGATGAGTGGTTCTGAGTTTTAGCATAACACATAAAGGAATTTTGACGTGGGTCTCCAGGGCCTTATCTAATATTTGAGGTTTTATATTTCTCTACCCCCAGCAGAAAGCCAGGCTTCAGTTTGATCTTTCAGGACACTAAAGTACATTTCTGAGTCAATTTTCCCTTTCCTGTGCCTGGGCTCCTCAAGCAACCACCCACCAGGCCTCCAAATATACCCATAGCATTTTTCAAGTTTGCTAAGTGAGGGTGTGAAGGGTCCCCCAAGGTATGGGTATTTCTTTTTACATATCAGTTCAACAATGCCTGCTTTACTGTCCATTTGGTTCTTTTTGAAAATTCATTTTGCCTTTAGCTCTTACCTGTACATCTCAAGAGCAGAGAGAAACAAGAATTTCCTTGGAGATTCTGTTATTCTTTTTTATCTCTGAATCTTTATGAAGCTTATGCAGCTAGTTTCTAACCTACAAGCAATTAATGGGTTAGGTAAAATGTGGACTTCTTCACCAGGACTTATCCTTAACTGAGAGTGTTCTCTACAACATTCTGTTAAGTGTATCTTTAATAACAGCTCATCCACAAACACTGTTTAAGGGCCTTAAGGTCAAACTGCTGATAAGTGTGTTAAAAGCATAAGAGAGAAAATGTTAAAAGATCCTATTGTACTTGGCGGGGGATTAGAAGCAATCGAATCACAAGTCTCTACCAGGCAACCTGGTCTCATGGAAGCATTAGCAAATATGTGTCAGCCAAGGTTTAGACCTTGGTCTTTGGGCTCTCTGTACTTTTTTCTGGGACAGTTTATGTTTATCTTACCAACTTCAATTAGTCATATCTATACTTCTGGTGGAGAAGAACTAGCATCCAATCTGAGGTGGATTCAGCTTCAGTAGGTTCCATCTGTAGAAAGGTCACTATGTGCCTGGCACTGCTTCAATCTCAAGTCCATCACTGATTCTCAGTGAAAAGGCCTATGATGATAAAACAGTAAAAATAATGTGACTAAATGACCCAGGCACCCCACTTCACTGCCTATACATAGCAAGGTCATTATACATTCATACCAAGAATCACCTTGGTTCCTGTTTTCTTGAATTGAACAGTTGGAATTGGTAATTAAAATAAGATGAAGTTTTGTTTTGCTTTGCTTTCTGTGGTATCTTGGGTAGAAGCAGAGTGAAGGTTGGCTTTGTTTTTTTCTTTATAACTGATGTTTGGCCTTGGCTTACTTCATATTTGCATATTTGCTCAAGTAGTGTCCTTATAAAGTGGGACCACTTTGAGTACTATCTTCTATTTGAAGAATTCATGAGAAATGTATATAACATAACTCTGAGCCTGCACAGTAGTTGTATTTTACATATTTCAACTAGCAACAGAAAATATTTTGTTTACAAGGGAGAAGTAGGTGTTTAGTGGAGGTGAGTCAGGGTTCAGGGTTCACTTTTTCCCTCCACTTAAAAATGTCACTGGAATGGTATGTAGTGTGGGAGATGAACTTTCTTCCCTAAGGTGATTAATATTAGATAAGTAAAAATGTCAACAGTACACCACTCTTCCCAAAAATAGTCCTGCCACAATGAGATGTCACCCTCATACCCCTCATTCAATTTTACCAAGGTCTTTGATGTTTTGTGTTGAATGTAGGTAGGTTTTAATTATTGTTTTCCTTCAAATGAGCTATTTATAGAGATTTTGTTAAATTTTGAGCCATATGCATGAGTGGATACTGAAAAGTTGTGTTTGGTTTATGATAATCTGCAAACAATTCATATTAATCAATAAACAGAAGTACATCCAAATGCCTTGTTTATTCCTCTGCTTTCAGTGAACTGGTGTGACTCATTCGGTTGCTTTGTGTGTCTGCTTAGTCAGTACAGAAAGAAATGTGTTTCTAATCACTGGGTGTAACACCAAAGCTATGGCAATTCCTACTCGTAACCCAGGAGATCTGAGTTATAGTCTATGTTCTCCTGCGTTCAAACTGTTTATGACATTTAGAGTCTTGTCTGGCTACAGATCTACCAGACATGTTTGTATTCTAAATTTATAATCTTTTTCTTTTTTTGTTGTGTTGTTTTGTTTGTTTTCAGACATAGTTTCTCTGTGTAATAGCCCTAGGTGTCTTGGACTTGCTTTGTAGACCATTCTGGCCTCAAACTCACAGAGATCTGCCTGACTCTGACTCCCAAGTGCTGTGATTAAAGGTGTGTGCCACCACTCCCAGCCCTAAATTTAAAAATCTTAAGGAGGGTTGTATAGTCTTCAAACTGTGTGTGTGCATATATTTAAACATATGAACCAATCTCTTGTAGTTTATATGTGCACATTTCCATTTGATCATACTATTTTAAAAATAGGAGAACAGATACACACACATGCATGCATGCATACACACACACACACACATAAACTAGACAATCTGTAAGACTGACTCTTAAGAACATTGCTTTGCCATTGTTTAATCTGTATTTTTGTTTATTGTGTTATTGGATTCAAGGGGCTTCTAACAGGATAGCATTTGATTTGAAATGTTCTTCACTACTATAATTTTATTTAAAACCAGGCAAATTAAATCTCTTCCTATCTCAAATATTGGCTAATCCTAATAAAAATACATGCTGACAAGGATGAGAAAAAAACAAGAAAATTCATACAATGTTGGTGGGATTGTAAAATGGCATGACCTTTTTGAAACAGTCTGGCAGTTCTTTTAAAATTTAAAACATCAGTTGCCACATTATTCAATAATTCTACTCATCAATATATAATCAAGATAATTAAAAACATGTACATATAATGCATT